TGGCTCTGCAAGGCTACTATCATACTCCAACAATAGACACTGATGTTGCTTGTACCAACCTAAAGGCATGGCACTGGAAGGGGCAGGAACACAGAGATGAACGCTCGGAGCTTCCCGAGGAGGCCGATTTTTTAAGGCACTCTACCCTTCTTTGGCAGAGTCTGCCACTATTTGAGGCAGAGAAAGAAAATGCTCCTAATCACTAACAGCACAGAAGCTTGAGGTTACTAAGGGTTACTCCAGCAGCAGCCACGCAAAAGCTCCTTGCCACACGGGCACAGCTGCCCTTGGTCACAGCAGCTCACCAGCCTGGCGACAGCAGCGTCACACAGCACGCGATCATCCCGCTTTAGTCACACTCATGGTCACGCACACACTAGGTCCCACGTAGTCTCCCGCGAACAAACGGTTCCGGTCCCACGTGCAGACCTCACGGCACCCCAGGACCGCGCAGAGCCAAGGAAGACGCGCGGCCAAACCAGACCCACACGGACACGGATACTCAGGCGCCCCAACACTCGGGCTCAGACTCTCCCTGGTCCTCACGGCTGGCCCGCGGGGAGCACCCGGACGCCCCATCTGGTGCCCTGCCCGCCCCACCGCACGGGCCAATGTCGCCGGTAACCGCTCCCCCTCCCCGAGACAGCCGCCACATCACGGAGATGATCAGCCGCAGTGGCGTCTGGGAAGCGTAGCTCTGGCCGGGGAGGGCGAGAAACGCTCCGAGCGCAGGGTCCTGGGGGACGGCCCCGCCCCGTCCCACTGTCCAGCGGGACGCGCCAAAGCGGCTGCTTTCGCCGAGAGGGGATTTGGGGCGAGGGGAGGAGCGGAGGGCACCCAGTCAGAGGCGGAAAGGAAAAGGCTCCATAGGGTTTCTAAGGACCTGATGTCCACCAGCAAGCTCCAGGGCGCCGTCCTAGGAAGCCCCAGGCTCCTGGAAGAGGAGCCCTGACGAGGCTTGTCCAAGCGGATCAACAAGCCGACTCGCCAGTTAACGTTAATTCCCGCCCTTCGTTGCGTTAGGCCCAGGCCCAGACCCTGGAAGGTAACGTCGGGAGGCTTGGTTTTCCCGGGGTCTTTATTTGCCTCAAATCCAAGGGAGCAGGAGAAAGGGACTCCTGAGAGTTCCGGAAACAATGAAAATGCCTGGCGCCTTGGAGGACACGGAACTCCTGTCTCCAAGGAAGAGAACCTTGAGGGGACGCTAGGTCAGGCGCCCAAGTTGCAGGTACAGTCTTTCACAGGTGTTAGGTCCCTAGGGGAGTTGGCAGAGGGAAGCTTTGGGGGGAACTTACAGCAACAGGGTTCACCAAAATTTACCCGAGGTGCTGCCCAAGAAAAGACAATGGCTTCCTATGGCCAATACCCACCGTAAACTCAACTTTTCTGCAAAAGTCTATTTGGGAGCAGAATGAGCTAAATACCTAGGTGGGTATTTACTTCCAGTGGTATATACTTCCACTGCTCTTTCTGGAAGAATATGTGAAGAGTTTCTGTGCAAATGCCTTTTAAAAAGCTGACCAAGATTCTCCTGGTGGCACTGGAGAGGCTAGCAAAAGAAGTCAAGATTTGGGGAAGTCACAATGCTTCCCAACCATCCTCATGACACAAGTGGAAAATAGTAATATTTGTATGGCACACTGGATTGTACATATTAGGGAGTAAGTTGAGCTGATATAATAAAGATCCCAAAATACAATGGCCTGAATAACATATCTTTATTCCTCCCTCACGTAACGGGTGGGCAGTCCCCAGCTGGTAAGATAGCCTTGCCCTCCTGAATAAATGTTTTTCATCTTTGGGGCAAGAAGGTTCTTAAAATTCTTATATCCAAGCCAACAGGGCAGGGAGGGCAGCAGAAGCAGAAACAATACTTCCTAGAGTTGCAACCCAGAAATAATCATCCTTTTGGCTTCTCTCTCATTGCTAGATAAATTGGACTTCATAAAATTAAAAATGAGCATCAAAGGGCATTATCAAGAAAGTTAAAAGATAACCTACAGAAATGGGAGGAAAAAATCTTAAATCAAGTACAGGATGAGGATCTAGTATCTAATTCATATAAGGATTCTTTATGACTGAACATGGCAAACAGCCAAATTAAAATTTGAGCATAGAACTGGACTAGACATTTCTCCAAAGAAGATATACAATGTCCAACAAGCATATGAAAAGATGTTTAACTTGTTAGTCTTTAGGAAATGCAAATCAAAACCACAGGTATCATTTCACATATAATAGGATGGTTATGATTTTTAAAAAGGAAAATGAAGTGTTATTGATGTAGAGAATTGGAAATTATCACATCACACAGAGAGCTCTGAGAAACTTCAGGTTTGAACAGAAGGGCCTAGGACCATTGTTGTTTGGGACTCAACCCATATACAAGAGATGAATTCACAATTTTATCTCCCATTAACAACTAGCTCTCAGACCATTCAATTTCCTGTGCTTGATTTTATCATTAGTAATTTCTGTGTTAACTATTTGTATATGTTACATTCTTTGAAGTAATTCTCACAAAATCTTAAAAGGCTGGAGTTATTCTAGTTGTACAGATGACTAAACTGTGCCTGAAAGAAAGAAAATCACTTCAAGTTCTCCTAATCTAACACTACACATAGGTCTTATTCAAAAGCCCATATTTAGGCCAATAATAATAATAAAAAAAAGATACTTCCACTGCTACTTCTGGAAGAATATGTGAAGAGTTTCTGTGCAAATGCCTTTTAAAATGCTGACCAAGAAGGTAACTCATCCTTCTTATCACTGAAGTACAGGAAGTCATCTCATGGCTTCAAAGAATTTACTTTTATCCACCATCTAGTCTATTACCCCTTGTATTGAGCTCTGTGAATAAAGAAGAAAATCTTAGTAGATATAGCAAATTGATGTGTAAGTAGCACTAGAAATCAATGAGAAAGCATGTCCTTAAAGGGAAGCATTTAGTCCAGCTGTCTCTAAAAAGGGTTAGGTCAAAATGGCAGCAATTTTGTTAAAAATCCCTGCACAGTCCTACCATTCAAATTTAGAAGCTGCTAAAAGGGCCCAGGAGGGCTGGAGATGTAGCTCAGGGGTAGAGTCCTTATCTAGCATACAAAAAGCTATGTGTACCACATGTACACAGTACAGCATAAGGGACCAAGACTTTACGAAAATAATAAACTACACAAAGTTTTGCATTGTTTTCTTTAAAAAAAAAAGTGATCTGAAATACTTTGAAAAGAAAGAAAATCTTCTGTATGAGGGAGATAGCAAATGTCATGCATGTGAAGAAATGTAGTCTCACTTCCTTGGGGCTCATTTACAGTTACTTGAACCAAATAGTCATTTAAAAAATTTTTAGATGTTGATGGACCTTCATTTTATTCATTTATTTATATGCAGTGCTCAGAATTAATCCCAGCAAGCACTCTGCCACTGAGCTTTAGCCCCAGCCCTAAGCCAGATATTTTACTGAGAGAAAAAAAAAAATTCCTATTTTATGGGGAAACTCCTATTTCTAATTTTGTAACTTCTTGTTCTCTCCAAACCTAAATTTTTCGTGAATTTGGATGGGAAACACTGAGAATGAATCCAGAAAAACAAATTATTGCCAGAGAGTAAGAATCCATGCCAAGATGTCAAGCACTGCTGGGGAAGGAATCATTTCCCCTCAGTGTGGCCCAGAGTGTCTGTGTCCTGAAAATTTAGCATCAAAGTATATCCAATTAAATAAAAGTTGTTATGATTGTGAAAGGTCACACATTCATCTGACTCAAAATAAAAATGTTGAGCTGGGGTTATGGCTCAGTGGTAAATCGCTTGCCCAGCATGTGTGAGACACTGGGTTCGATTATCAGCACTGCATATAAATAAATGAATAAAATAAAGGTCCATCAACGACTAAAAATGTATTAAAAATTAAAATAAAAATGTTAAAATGCAATATTCAAATACCTAGACATATAAAACCATGAAGTTAGCAGAGTATTAAAAATATAGGAGGAAGGCTCCCGCCGTGCGCCAAGCCAGCCCCGGAGGAGGAAGGCTCCCGCCGGGCACCAAGCCAGCCCTGGAGGAGGAAGAAGCCCGGCGCCAAGCCAGACCGGAGGAGGAAGTCTGGCCCCGCCCCGTGTGCTGGTCTGGAGGAAACCCATCAACCCTTAAAGCCCATAAAAGAGGGTGTGGCTTCCAACACCGTTCTGCGGCTGATCCAGGTACCCGGTTTCCAACTCCCCCACCCTTAGCTGCGATAACTCAAAATATTTCCCACAAGCTTTTGGGGGTTGTAGCTATCAACGCAAAACAACAACTGTTCAGGCACCTGGTTTCTACCTCAGAGACTAGAAAAGGGAAGATACAGGTGGAAGCTCATTTCCTTTCACACTGGCTATACCCACCACCCTGAATACAGAGGCTCAAGCTAGGAATAGACAATGTCACCTACTGGAAGCAAGGAAAACAGAGTTCTGAGAGACTTTTTTTTTCCTCTTTCTTTCTCTCTTTTCTTCTCTCTCTTCCACAACTTCAACATATGTGAAACCAAGAACTGTGCATAAACAACCGAATTACCAAGTAATATAATATAGAGGAAATGCATATACCCCACCTTCCCCCCATTTTTTCTTTATTTCTATCTTACTTTCCTTTTCCTTCTCTTATTTCTCTTTTCTTCCTTGTTATGTTTTTTCTCTTCTTTCTCTTTCATATTCTCTCTATCCCACTTTCAATCTCCTAACTTTTGCTATCTATACGTAGGGTAACTATCTAAATACAGATAGGAGGTTGAATCTATAAATTCTTCCATAAATTACCAGCCTATTGGTTAGAATTCTCCAAAGATGCTAAGTTAGTTTAACCTCATACCCTCACTCCTTTCCCTCTAAGTATAACATCCTTCGTCTGAAATTAAGTTTTCTATAAGCCACCAGATATGGTACGCCTTTTATGAAACTAATGAATATATTCTTAAGTAATAATTAAAACCAATATCTATAGACTTAGAATCTAACTATAAATGTTTTAAGAATGAAAATTTGTGCTTAGATAATGTGCTGTTGATATTGGGAACTGTTAATATTGTCTTTCTCCGCAAAAGAGGGATTTTGGAGCTATACAAGAACAATACAAATATATAAGGGGAAAAACATTAACACAACAGTTTCACAAAACTAGAAAGAATCATGAGCAGTATGAAAAGACAACGAAAGAAAGGACCACAAACAATACAGGTCAATTCAACAACAGACGAGGTAATATCTGCAGCGGATGGAATGTCAGACAAAGAGTTCAGAAAATACATGCTTCAGATGATCTGGAGTTTCAAGGAAGACATTATACAGCAAATTCAGACAATGAAAAATCACTTTGACAATGAACTACATAAACAAATCCAAGAAGCAAAAGATCAACTCTATAGGGAGATAGAGGATATAAAAAACAAACAGAAATCCTGGAAATGCAGGAAACAATAAACCAAATTAAAAACTCAAATGAGAGTATTACCAGCAGAGTAGAACACTTAGAAGATGGAACAAAGTTTTTCAACTTGAAAAGAACATAGACAGCTCAGCGAGAATGTTAAGAAATCATGAGCAGAACATCCAAGAATTATGGGATAACATCAAGAAACCAAACCTAAAAGTTATTGGGATACAAGAGGGTATAGAGGTCCAAACCAAGGGAATGAGCAATCTATTCAATGAAATAATACTAGAAAACTTCCCAGACTTAAAGAATGAAAAAGAAATCCAAATACCAGAAGCCTACAGGACACCGAATGTACAAAATCATAAGAGATCTACACCAAGACATATAATAATGAAGATGTCCAACATACAGAATAAGGAGAGAATTTTAAAAGCCACAAGAGAGAGGAAGCAGATTACATTTAGGGGTAAACCAATCAGGATAACTGCTGATCTTTCAACACAGACTCTGAAAGCTAGAAGATCCTGGAATAACATATTTCAAACGCTGAAAGAAAATGGGTTCCAACCAAGAATCATGTATCCAGTGAAATTAAGCTTCAGGATTGAAGATGAAATAAAAATCTTTCACGATAAGCAAAAGTTAAAAGAATTTGCAGCTAGAAAACCAGCTCTTCAAAACATCCTTGGCAAAACATTACAGGAAGAGGAAATGAAAAATAACAAAGAAAACCAACAGCGGGAGGTAGTACAGTAAAGGAAAAACTAAGCATAGAGGAAAAACAAATCATGTTAAACAACTTACATAATCAAATATGGCTGGAAATACAAAACATATCTCAATAGTAACCCTAAATGTTAATGGCTTAAATGCACCAATCAAAAGACATAGGCTAGTAGAATGGATTAAAAAAAAAGATCCAACAATATGCTGCCTACAGGAGACTCATCTGATAGGAAAAGACATACACAGACTGAAAGTGAAAGGTTGGGAAAAATCATATCACGCATACGGACCATGGAAGCAGGCAGGGGTATCCATACTTGTATCAAATAAAATAGACTTCAAGCCAAAGTTAATCAAAAGGGATAAACAAGGACACTACATACTGCTCAAGGGAACCATACACCAACAAGACTTGACGATCATTAATGGTGCAGCTACGTTCATCAAACAAACTCTTCTCAAGTTCAAGAGTCAAATAGACCACAACACAATAATCATGGGAGATTTTAACACACCTCTCTCACCACTGGACAGATCTTCTAAACAAAAGTTGAATAAAGAAACGATAGAGCTCAATAATACAATTAATAATTTAGACTTAATTGATATATACAGAATATACCACCCAACATCAAGCGGATACACTTTCTTCTCAGCAGCACATGGATCCTTCTCAAAAATAGACCATATATTATGTCACAGGGCAAATCTTAGCAACTACAAACGAGTTGAGATACTACCATGCATTTTATCTGATCATAATGGAATGAAATTGGAAATCAATAATAAAATGAGAAAGGAAAAATCCTACATCACATGGCGATTAAACAATATGCTACTAAATGAACAAAGGGTTACAGAAGACATCAAAGAGGAAATTAAAAAATTCTTAGAGGTAAATTAAAACTCAGACACAACATATCGAAATCTCTGGGACACTATGAAAGCAATACTAAGAGGAAAATTCATTTCACGGAGTTCATTCCTTAAAAGAAGGAAAAGCCAACAAATAAATGACCTCACACTACACCTCGAAGCCTTAGAAAAAGAAGAACAAATCAGCAGCAAATACAGTAGAAGGCAAGAAATAATTAAAATTAGAGCTGAAATCAATGAAATCGAAACAAAAGAAACAATCGAAAAAATTGACAAAACTAAAAGTTGGTTCTTTGAAAAAATAAATAAGATTGATAGACCACTAGCCACGCTAACAAAGAGAAGAAGAGAGAGAACCCAAATTACTAGCTTACGGGATGAAAAAGGCAACATCACAACAGACAATTCAGAAATACAGAAGATAATTAGAAATTATTTTGAAACCCTATACTCTAATAAAATAGAAGATAGTGAAGGCATCGATAAATTCCTTAAGACATATGAACTACCCAGATTGAGTCAGGAAGATATAAACAACCTAAATAGACCAATATCAAGTGAGGAAATAGAAGAAGCCATCAAAAGACTACCAACCAAGAAAAGCCCAGGACTGGATGGATATACAGCAGAGTTTTACAAGAACTTTAAAGAAGAACTAATACCAATACTCCACAGTCTATTTCAGGAGATAGAAAAAGAGAGAGAACTTCCAAATTCATTCTATGAGGCCAATATCACCCTGATTCCCAAACCAGATAAAGACACCTCAAAAAAAGAATACTACAGACCAATATCCCTAATGAATTTAGATGCAAAAATCCTCAATAAAATTCTGGCAAATCGGATACAAAAATATATCAAAAAGATCGTGTACCATGATCAAGTAGGATTCATCCCTGGGATGCAAGGCTGGTTCAATATACAGAAATCAATAAACGTTATTCACCACATCAATAGACTTAAAGATAAGAACCATACGAGCGTGTGGGAGGAGGCGGTGGCCAGGGTGAGGCGCGAGGCTGAGCGCTCGAGAGCCGACTTGGAGGAGCGGATGTAAGTCAGAGTATAGCAGAAAATGTCCACTGAACGGACTTCTTGGACAAGCATGTCCACTATTCAGAAAATAGCCCTGGGCCTTGGGATTCCAGCCAGTGCAACAGTTGCCTATATCCTATACCGCAGATACAGGGAAAGCAGAGAAGAGCGGCTGACATTTGTTGGGGAGGATGACACCGAGATAGAGATGCGAGTTCCCCAAGAGGCTGTGAAGCTCATCATTGGTCGGCAAGGAGCCAATATTAAACAGCTTCGGAAACAGACAGGTGCACGGATTGATGTGGACACAGAGGATGTAGGCGATGAGCGAGTGCTGCTTATCAGTGGTTTTCCTGTTCAGGTGTGCAAGGCCAAAGCAGCAATCCACCAGATCCTGACAGAGAATACCCCAGTGTCTGAACAGCTCTCAGTCCCCCAGAGATCTGTGGGCAGAATCATAGGGAGAGGCGGCGAGACAATTCGTTCTATCTGTAAGGCGTCTGGAGCCAAAATTACCTGTGACAAAGAATCAGAGGGCACATTACTATTATCAAGACTTATAAAAATCTCAGGAACACAGAAGGAAGTGGCAGCAGCCAAGCATTTGATACTGGAAAAAGTTTCAGAAGATGAAGAACTTCGGAAGAGAATTGCCAATTCTGCAGAAACCAGAGTCCCACGCAAGCAGCCAATCAGTGTGAGAAGAGAGGAAGTGACAGAGCCAGGTGGAGCTGGAGAACCAACTTTATGGAAAAACAGCAGTTCTAGCATGGGGCAAGCTGCACCCCTGGCAACTTCTCCCCGCAAAGGAAGTGGTGACATGGCTATTGTAGGCCCAAAAAATGGTTCCAAGGAGAAACCTAATGGTGACAGCTTTCAGAAGTCTGGAGACCAGACCAGTCCTGAGATGTCCATGTTTGAAATCCCCAGTCCCGACTTCAGTTTTCATGCTGATGAGTACCTGGAAGTCTACGTCTCTGCTTCCGAACATCCTAACCACTTCTGGATCCAAATTATTGGCTCCCGCAGCCTGCAACTAGATAAGCTTGTGAGTGAGATGACCCAGCACTATGAGAATAGTCTGCCTGAAGACTTGACTGTGCATGTAGGAGATATTGTAGCAGCACCTTTATCTACAAATGGTTCCTGGTATCGAGCCAGGATCCTTGGCACCTTGGAGAATGGGAACTTGGACCTCTACTTTGTTGACTTTGGAGATAATGGAGATTGCCCATTGAAGGACCTCAGGGCTCTCAGGAGTGACTTCCTAAGCCTTCCATTTCAAGCAATAGAATGTAGTCTGGCACGGATTGCCCCCTCAGGTGAAGAGTGGGAAGAGGAAGCTTTGGATGAGTTTGACAGACTGACTCACTGTGCTGATTGGAAACCCCTGGTGGCCAAAATCTCTAGCTATGTCCAGACTGGGATCTCAACTTGGCCAAAGATCTATTTATATGACACAAGCAATGGGAAGAAACTTGATATCGGGCTAGAATTAGTTCGTAAAGGATATGCAGTTGAGCTTCCTGAAGATGTGGAAGAAAACAGAGCTGTCCCTGACATGTTAAAGGATGGGGCCACAGAAACAGATGCCTCTCTTGCCAGCATGCTCACTGAATCCAAAAAAAGCCCTGGAGAGATGGCACATACCCTGTCCTGCCTCAGCTTATCAGAAGCTGCCTCTATGTCTGGTGATGATAACCTTGAAGATGACTACTTACTCTGAAGTCTGGGCTTCCAGTGGCTCAGCCATCTGCTTTGCTGTGATTAGGCACATGATTTGGTGCCTGGAGAGAAGAGTCTAAGAGATCCATACAGTCCTTTATTACACAGTGTGGCTTGCTGTGGACCAGATCCATTTTCTCCTTCCATTGAATTACCAGAAAGAGTGTGGAGGAGAGGAAGACATCACCCACCTCACCTCCTTCTCCATCCCTCCCCTATCTTTCAGTGTTTGGATGCTGTGTCCTCTGCCAGTCGTAATGCACATCACTGCTAGACTGTGTTCTTTTTCAGCTGGGAAACAGCCAGAGTTTGGTCATTAGAAATGATTCTGGAGACTTATGACTCGCCTCAAAAGGTGACTGGTTAAGGGAAGTGTTTGAACAGGGAACTCGAAGACTGTAGTTGAAATCAGAAGGCAAAGGCAAAAATCAGCCTAAATGTATTAAAAAAATTTTCAGGAGGTGAGAAGAGAATGCCACCTCTCAGACTCAATTGCTGAGTGTTGTTGGAGACAGGTTTTGGGAACAAGCTCCAGCTATTTCTTTGTGAACTTTAGTTAAAATACAAGTAGAAAAGGAGAAATGTGACTCAGGAAATACTCTAAATTGCTAGTATAGTACTTGTATGTGTATATACACACCTTGAGAGAAAACACACATGTATAGTTCTGTTTAAATCATTTGGAGGGAGTCTTTGCTTAATAAAGTTCTCAAAAAAATAAAAACAAAACAAAAAAAAAAAAACCATATGATCATCTCGATAGATGCAGAAAAAGCATTCAACAAAGTACAGCATCCCTTTATGTTCAAAACACTAGAAAAACTAGGGATAACAGGAACTTACCTCAACATTGTAAAAGCTATATATGCTAAGCCTCAGGCTAGCATCATTCTAAATGGAGAAAAACTGAAGGCATTCCCTCTAAAATCCGGAACAAGACAGGGATGCCCTCTCTCACCACTTCTATTCAATATAGTTCTCGAAATACTGTCCAGAGCAATTAGACAGACAAAAGAAATTAAAGGCATTAAGATAGGAAAAGAAGAACTTAAATTATCACTATTTGCGGATGATATGATCCTATACCTAGAAGACACAAAAAGGTCTACAAAGAAACTACTAGAGCTAATAAATGAATTCAGCAAAGTGGCAGGATATAAAATCAACACGCATAAATCAAAGGCATTCCTGTATATCAGTGACAAATCTTCTGAACTGGAAATGAGGAAAACCACCCCATTCACAATATAAAAAAAAAATAAATAAATAAAATACTTGGGAATCAACCTAACAAAAGAGGTGAAAGATTTATACAATGAAAACTACAGAACCCTAAAGAGAGAAATAGAAGAAGATCTAAGATGGAAAAATATACCCTGTTCATGGATAGGCAGAACTAACATCATCAAAATGGCGATATTACCAAAAGTTCTCTATAGGTTCAATGCAATGCCAATCAAAATCCCAACGGCATTTCTTGTAGAAATAGATAAAGCAATCATGAAATTCATATGGAAGAATAAAAGACCTAGAAGAGCAAAAGCAATTCTAAGCAGGAAGTGTGATTCAGGAGGTATAGCGATACCAGATTTCAAACTGTACTACAGAGCAATAGTAACAAAAACAGCATGGTACTGGTACCAAAACAGGCAGGTGGACCAATGGTATAGAATAGAGGGCACAGAAACGAATCCACAAAATTACAACTATCTCATATTTGATAAAGGGGCTAAAAGCATGCAATGGAGGAAGGATAGCATCTTCAACAAATGGTGCTGGGAAAACTGGAAATCCATATGCAACAAAATGAAACTGAATCCCTTTCTCTCACCATGCACAAAAGTTAACTCAAAATGAATCAAGGAGCTTGATATCAAATCAGAGACTCTGCGTCAGATAGAAGAAAAAGTTGGCTCCGATCTACATATTGTGGGGTCGGGCTCCAAATTCCTTAATAGGACACCCATAGCACAGGAGTTAAAAACAAGAATCAACAAATGGGACTTACTCAAACTAAAAAGTTTTTTCTCAGCAAGAGAAACAATAAGAGAGGTAAATAGGGAGCCGAAATCCTGGGAACAAATCTTTACTCCTCACACTTCAGATAGAGCTCTAATATCCACAGTATACAAAGAACTCAAAAAATTAAGCAATAAGAAAACAAATAACCCAATCAACAAATGGGCCAAGGACCTGAACAGACACTTCTCAGAGGAGGATATACAATCAATCAACAAGTACATGAAAAAATGCTCACCATCTCTAGCAGTCAGAGAAATGCAAATCAAAACCACCCTAAGATACCATCTCACTCCAGTAAGATTGGCAACCATTATGAAGTCAAACAACAAATGCTGGCGAGGATGTGGGGAAAAGGGTACACTTGTACATTGCTGGTGGGACTGCAAATTGGTGTGGCCAATTTGGAAAGCAGTATGGAGATTCCTTGGAAAGCTGGGAATGGAACCACCATTTGACCCAGCTATTGCCCTTCTCGGACTATTCCCTGAAGTCCTTAAAGAAGCATACTATAGGGATACTGCTACATCGATGTTCATAGCAGCACAATTCACAATAGCTAGACTGTGGAACCAACTTAGATGCCCTTCAATAGATGAATGGATTAAAAAATGTGGCATTTATACACAATGGAGTATTACTCAGCACTAAAAAATGACAAAAACATGGAATTTGCAGGGAAATGGATGGCATTAGAGTAGATTATGCTAAGTGAAGCTAGCCAATCCCTAAAAAACAAATGCCAAATGTCTTCTTTGATATAAGGAGAGCAACTAAAAAATGAGCAGGGAGGAAGAACATGAGAAAAAGATTAACATTAAACAGGGACGGGAGGTAGGAGGGAAAGGGAGAGAGAAGGGAAATTGCATGGAAATGGAAGGTGACCCTCATTGTTATACAAAATTACATATAAGAGGATGTGAGGGGAAAGGGGAAAAAATATCAAGGGAGAGAAATGAATTACAGTACAAGGGGTAGAGATAGAAGATGGGAGGGGAGGGGAGGGGAGGGGGGATAGTAGAGGATAGGAAAGATAGCAGAATACAACAGTCACTAGTATGGCAATATGTAAAAACATGGATGTGTAACCGATGTGATTCTGCAATCTGTATACGGGGTAAAAATGGGAGTTCATAACCCACTGGAATCAAATGTATGAAATATGATATGTCAAGAGCTTTGTAATGTTTTGAACAACCAATAAAAAAAAGAAAGATGAAATAAAATAAAATAAAATAAAAATATAAAAATATATCTGTATATAAACACAAATATGAATTTCCTTTACTTTAATTTTATAAGGTATATAAATATGTCTACATATGTGTCTGTATACATAGTGTGGACAGATGGGTCTATTATTTGTCTCAGGTCTTAACTCCAAAGTCAACTTCATATAACACATAAACACAAATTTCAGAGGATCCTAATAACAATCAGATACTAATAAAGCATAATTTCCACTGATGCCAAAAGATGAAGTTAATGTATCAACATGAGATAATAAGAAGAATAGTTGCAGATAAACAAAATTTAGTACCTCATGATGAAGAGAAACTTCTGATTACAACATACAAACCCATGCTAAAAACACAAGTAAAAAAAAATTTTTTAGCCGCATTATAAGTGAAGTTCAGCTGTAAAAACAAAGGGTTAACCAGAGGCTTGGGTTTATGTCACCTCTGAGTAAGAAATCAGCTGCCACACTTAGACCAAAAATCAGTGAATAATTCAGATTTTCACTGGTCTGGGTCATTATTCTTTTTTCTTAAAGCCTGATAATATTATTGTACACCTTGGGAAATTTTCCAAAATAAGTTACTATTCAGTACTTAAAAATTATTAAGTATTCAAAAAATAAGTATTCCTGTACCTTAGGAAATAGAAAATAGAGAAATGACATGAATTAAACATAAGATATTAATCCATTTTAGGTTACATATAAGTTGGGCAATGCTTAATAATCATACTTGTTTCTGTTTAAGGTCTGAATTACTAAATCATATTAAATCTGTAGTTTATGTTGTATAAAGTGAAATTATCAGTATTTAAGAAAATTAATTTTCTGAATTTGGAATATGTATAAATTGACTGTTAAATTATGAAAATAGTAATCAGTTTCACTCCATGCCATGCACATATATAAATCCTCCATTCTTGCTTGATGTCTGTTCTAATCTTTTTTTATATATAAATATTCTTTTACAGATTCTAAGTGGTTCCAGCCGCTCAAAATAACTAAGTTCCCATTTCACCAAAGTTTGTTTCCCTATATACATTAAGATATAACATGAGGACTGGGGTTGTAGCTCAGTGGAAGTGAGCTTGCCTAGCATGTGTGAGGCACTGGCTTTGATTTTCAGTACAACATATAAATAAGTAAAAGCCCATCAAAAACTAAAAAATATTTTTTTAAAAAGATATAACATGAATATATTATCTCATATACTCATCCTCCCCAACACTCTGAAGAATAGTAATGATTTGTTGTCTAAAAGTTTTAGGCATCAAATGTTTAAGTCTTATCATTTGTTGAAAATGGCTCATTCTTTCTGTCATTTCAAAGAAGTTATCTATAAATCAAGGTTACAGCCCACCCACAAACAACCCCCTTTTATAATGCTACCTTATCATATTCTGTCACATAGCATGTTTAAAACTCATACTGAAAGAAGAAAATCAAATAATTCCCTTAAGAGGGCTGGGGATGTGGCTCAAGTGGTAGCGTGCTCGCCTGGCATGCGTGCTGCCCGGGTTCGATCCTCAGCACCACATACAAAGATGTTGTGTCCGCCGAGAACTGAAAAATAAATATTAAAAAACTCTCTCTCTCTCTCTCCCTCTCTCTTTAAAAAAAAATTCCCTTAAGATGGGAGTCATTCATTCAATCGATGGATTCATAATTCTCTTAGATTCTGGTCTTTCTTTACAGGCCTATGTTGAGTCATTTCTACAAACTATTTTTTAACTCCTTTAGGGAAAGCCTATTAAGGAATTTTAAAGTTTTCACCCTTTCTGTGAAAAAGACTAATACTCACTAAATTTTTATTTTTTAATTGTCAATTTTTTTTTTAAACGTGGTGTTGAGGATTGAACCCAGAGACTCAAACATTCCAAGCAAGAGCCTTACCATTGAGCTACAACTGCAGCTTCACATTAAATTTTTATCAACAAATTGAACAATTATCTCAGCTTACAGAAGGTTGTGTACTCAATTTTCACATAATTGTTATGTTTCTCCTTTGGATAAGCCCTATATTTTTTCTTGAACTGTGAATTAAACCCAGTGGTGCATTACCACTGAGCTTCATCCCTAGCACTTTCTCTCTTTTATTTTTTGAAACAGGCCCTCCCTAAGTTGCTGAGGCCAGCCTTGAATTTTCAATCCTCTGCCTCCTGAGTCCCTGGGATTATAGGCATGTGCCATTGTGCCTGGCTTATGCCATATAAAAGATTAAGTATTACAAACATAGGGTATATGAGTTGGTATTCTAATTCCAAGAGGCAAAAATCTAATTCAAATTACCATAAGCAAAAAAAAAGGAAATTTATTGAATCATGAAAACAAAAGTAAAGGATGTGCAGTCAATATGTATGACTGGTTCCAGATCAAACAATGTCATCAGATTTCTGTTTCTCATGTCCATTTTCCTCTATTAGAAATCTCTTTGGGAAGGCTTTCCACATGGGGTGGCAAAGGCTACTGGTGAGTTTTTAACCCCATTAAATCCTCAAAGCTTGAAATTCCAAAAAGAGAAATTATCTCTTTTACTACTCTTAACAATACTTCAAGGGCTATATTGGTCCAGAAGGGGCCATCTTATTAATATCTAGGTTGAGGGGAAATAATTGGCCAGCCTGTGACCAATCTACTGCTGTCCTTGATTAACAGTTTCATCCGAATCATAAGCATTGAGTGTGGGGTACTGAACAGGTGAGAAAGTCTACTACTCCAGTCATTTCAAATAATGGATGATGGTGAACTAAAGGCTTTTTCATATGGACTACATAGTAGACTTTACTAATCAAACAGAATTCACTGATATTCGATAAGGACTGGGTGGTGACTAAATGATTTATTTCCTATATTTGTTATTATCATAGTGTTTCTCTATTATGAATTCGCTGATGTCGTCTGAGAGCTGAGGCACAGCTAAAATTATTCTCACATTCATTACATTTATAGGGTTTCTCTCCAGCATGAATTCTCTGGTGTAGTCTAAGGGACAAGATCTGATGGAAAGCCTTCCCACATTCATCACATTCATAGGGTTTCTCTCCTGTATGAACTCTCTGGTGTTGGTTAAGGTAGGAGCCACAACTGAAGGCCTTCCCACATTTGCTACATTCATAGGGTTTCTCTCCTGCATGGCTTCTCTTATGGTGAATTAGAACTAAAGCATCACTGAAGGCTTTCCCACATTTACTGCATTCAAATGGTCTCTCTCCAGTATGAATTCTATGATGTCGATTAAGCTGTGAGTCAGTCCTGAAAAACTTGCCACACTTGATGCACTCATAGGGCTTTTCTCCGGTATGAATTCTCTGATGTTGATTAAGGTGTGAGCGATAGCCAAAAGTTTTCCCACACTCATTACATTTGAAGGGTTTCTCTCCTGTGTGAATTCTTTGATGAAGAGTGAGGGCTATGCGTCTGCTGAAGGCCTTTCCACACTGATTACATTCATAGGGTTTCTCTCCAGTGTGAATCCTCTGGTGCTGATTAAGGTGTGCGCTCTGTCTGAAGGCTTTGTTACACTCCTTACATTCATATGGTTTCTCTCCTGTGTGAATTCGCTGATGTTCAACAAGGAAGGCATAACGGCTAAAGGCCTTCCCACATTCATTGCATGCGAAGGGTTTCTCTCCAGTGTGGATTCTCTGGTGCTGAGCCAGGTGTGCGCTCTGCCTGAAGGCTTTGTTACACTCCTTACATTCATATGGCTTCTCTCCAATATGAGTTCTTTGGTGTTCACTGAGAAAGAAGTCATGGCTAAAGGCTTTCCCACAGTCATTGCATGCACATGCTTTCTCTCCACTGTGAATTCTCTGAGGTTGATTAAAGAATGAGCAACAGCTTAAGACTTCACCACACTCATCATATTCATGGGGTAATTTTCCAAAATGATTACATTGAGTTGGATGTTCAGTAAATAATGAGTGGATACTTAAGAAATTTGAAAAATTATTAGGTTTATAAGGTTTCTCACCAGAAGGAATTCGTGTATCTTTACTAAAGTGAGTAATTTGATTCAGTTCTTCATATTCATTACCTGTCAAAGATTCCTTCTCAGCATGGAGTCTTTCATATTCAATTATAACTGAATTTTGGGTGAAGAATTTATCATACATATCAAATTTATGGGCTTGTTTTACTGTGGAAATTCTCTGTTGTGCTAACAGTACTGACTTCAGGGGGAGGCTTCTCCCAGAATTATTATATTCATTGTGTCTTTTCCCAGTAGAGATGTCCTTAAGAGTTGTCATTTGCCTGAAATGGCTCTCCTGATTTCCCCGATACCACTCAAACCCCTCATATTTCCAGCCTTCTCTGAAACTGCAGCATTCAAGGCCATGACTTGTGAGTCTTTCTGTTACCATGCACTGGGATATTTCTTCCTCATCAATGAACAATTTTGGAGACAATTCCTTCATTTCACACCATGACTCCCAGTCTGAAAAATATCAAGAAAATGAATGTCTTCTTTTTTTCACTTTTCTAGGAGAAAGGAACCTTTAGGGAAAATTTAATTGAGGGAAAAGAAGGAATAAAGTACATGGTTCTAGCATCTCCCAAATATGGCCATGCTATATGAACAAAATACAAAGAATAAAGAGGTTGATCAAAGACAGCATATGTGTTGGGGAGGCAGTGATAGCAAATCAGGTACAAAGTAGGGCATAAGAGGCAGACAAAGCTAAATGCCAGAAAGATAAGGAATTGAGGATGACTGATTAAGTCTTTTTTTAATATTTATTTTGTAGTTGTAGTTGGACACAATACCTTTATTTCACTTATTTATTTTTTTAATATTTATTTTTTTCACTTATTTATTTTTTGCTGAAGATCAAACCCAGGGTCTCCCATGTGCGAAGAGAGTGCTCTACTGCTGAACCACAGCCCCAGCCCTGATTAAGCCTTGATTATTTTCTCTACCTCTAGTCTTTAAAGACTCCAGTCCACCCTGCACTGATATTCATATGACTGAAAGTTCCACGAGGGTATGGACTTATATTTATTCCATTTTCTTCTTATGGTGGCATGTCATGCCTGGAGCAATGACATCTTGATGAATGGATGCTGCTAGATTAACATCTTGTAATATTTTCCACTAATACTGCTCAAAAACTTCTAAAATTTTATCAGGGTCCAGAGGAAAATTATTGTTTTCTAAAGTATCTAGAAGAAATAAGATTTTCAGTTTTTCTCATCAAGAGAAAAATGATGCCTGCCAAGTAGAAAATACTTTTAGGAAAGGATCTTGGTTGAACCAAGGTGAAAGGAAAGCTTTTCTAAAAAAATGACCTCAAAAAAGAGGAAAATAAGAAAATCCTTTTAATTTAATTTAATTTTAATTAACTTAATTTTAATTTAATTTAATTTTAGACAATATGTTAAATATACAGAATCTATGACTATATGCCTAGGACCTAGTAGAGGGGGAAAAAGTCTGGGATAGTGTCCTCCCTTTTGTAAACTCTAAAAAGAGAGATAAAACTTGTGCATACAATGATTCAACATGATACATAATGCAAGACTAGCTAATATGAGATAGATCATCATTAGAATAGATGTTAAGGAAAAAAGACATCAGAATTCACTAAAGAATAATTTCTGGAGGCTATAGCTTGGTTTTCAAGATTTTGATCAGGCTTCCAAAATATGACAACTATTTTACTAACTGAGCCATTTTCAAATTAGGATATAATGTGGGATTATTTTAGAACTGCATATATTAGCATGTTGGGGTTAATGAGATGAACTCTTCCCCAAAACAGTTTCCCATCTGTTGAAAAGGAAATCTTCCTCCAGACTATATAAGCACAAAACTGAAAGGCAAAAAACAGAAGATGTCTGTATCTGTATCTTCCTTCTTTCCAACACATCCACCACACAGGAAAAGCCCCCAACCTCGTCAGTTCTCCTGTGCACAGCCTTGGATCCTCTCCTACATGGGCCCCTATATAAGCCCAGGCCTGAGAGGGCTTTGCTCACTTATTTTCTGGTAGGTACTTAACTTTGTTCATTCTTTCTTCATTCTTTCTTTTTGTTCGCTTGCCCACACTCCTAGACTTCCTGTCCTGTTATAGGACAGCAATGTCTAAGCCCATTATATTCCTTCTTACCACTAACAAATTTTTCTCTACGCCAGACAAATTTATAAAATAAAAATGTTTATACAATGTCTAAGTGTAATGCCAAGTAAAAGAAGCCTAAAGGGAGAAGACTACAGGTATTTTTCAACCTGGGGGATTCTGAGGTGCCTAGAACTCCAACCACTTAAAAAAAGGCATATGAATACTGAAAGGGAATGAATTCCTCATGGGAGAATGTCCTGGGGAAAGTAGAGAGCAGGAAATAATAATTGTATGTGTGGAAGACATATTCACTTTGATGGAGTAGAGAAATACTTAGGAGCCAATGATATCATAATAGCATTTAACAAAAAAGAAAAGGAAATTCACCTACATCAGTAACTGAGGAGAAAAAGGAAATATGGTTTCAGGTAAAATGGAAAAGAATCAAATGGACACCCATGTGGCACAGTAAAACAACACACTCTTTGGGGCCAGACAAGGATGGGATTGAATCCTATCTCTGTATCTAGGTAGCTACCCTCAACAAACTGATTAACCTACTTCTTGAGTCTCAGTTTTCTATTTGACAAAATGAAGTTACCTTGCAAGAATGATATGAGAACAAGAATATTTATAACACATCCACCAGTGTTGGGCTTATTACAGATACTTAATGATACTTATCATAAAATAATTCAGTACTCAGTAACTCTTGTACCCACATCACTAGTAGACTCAGATATTATTATTACATCAATGTTTGAATAGGGATTATGCAACAGGCTGACAAGTGACAAGACAAAAAATAGGAAAAGTAAACTCTTTGGGGTTAAAATGAATCCAGGCAATGTTATTGATATTAGAGATATGTAATTCCCAGCTAGTTATATTGTATAACTGGATGGAAGTTAGAATCACAGTATGATCAACTTTGGAATCCAATGAGAACCATACAGTAAGTAGGCTGATCTAAGACATTAGAAGAGGAAAAGTTCTTACTAGATCATGGACCTAGTCTCCCATATGCTGATCTGGTGGGCAACAGACAAATTGATATACAGCCAGCCCTCTGTATCTGCAGGTTGCACATCCATGGATTCAATTAACTGTGGATTGAAATATTAGAAAAAATGTATTTGTACTAAACATTCGTAGACATTTTTGTCATTGTTTGCCAAACAATATACTCCAACAACTATTTACATAGCATTATATTGTATTAGGCATTATAAGTAATATAGAGATGATTCAAATTATATGAGGATGTGCATAAGTGATATGCAAATACTATATCATTTTATATAAAGGATTTGAGTTTCCATGTGTTTTGGAATCCACAGAGGACCTGGATCCAAAAACCTGCAGGCACTAAAGGACAACTATATTGACAAAGTAAATCATCATTACATTACTGGCATGAAACTCAGGAGATTTTGGTGGGAAGTCTGGGGAGAAAAGTCTGGGACTTGCGGGAAAATCTTAAGAAGGAAAATAAAATTCATTGCTAACATCAAATTTTGTTGCAAAGAATAGCCAAACCAATGACACAGACTTACAGATTCAGTCCCCTTCTTTAAAAGACTATATAGGGCTATACTGCCCAATATAGCAGCCATTAGCTATATGTGGCATTTAAATATTTAATTAAAATTAAAAACTTAAAAATTCATCTCCTCAATCACACTAGACACAATGTGGCTGGCCAAATGTGGCTAGTGGCTTCTGTACTGGAAAGCACAGTCATATATTATTTCCATCATTACAGAAAATCTTATTAGCACTGGAGAGAGATCCAAGTTAATGTGATGATGATCTTATGGTTAATAAGGAAAGACAGAAAAGTAGGGACAGAAGTCAGTTAAAGGCATAAAAAAATCAGAAAAGAGTTTTGAAAAGAGAAAAAAGATAATGGTCAGAACTACCTTATGCATCTCAGTAAGCTGAGGAGTATAAAAACGAAGCAAAGTACCTGGATTTAGTCAAACTCTATATATAGAGGGGCAGAAGCTACTCTGCAAGTGGCAAGACAGTGGGAACGAACTTGAAGTAAAGGCAGTAAGGAAAGATTAGAAATGACATAAGTAATTACAAGAGAGAAGGGTGTATGGTTTGCAGGAACACTAAAAAGGTTCTAGAAAATAGTATATGTATGTGAAAGAAGATTTAAACAAACAAATGTACAATATAACTGCACCAAAAGAAAAAAAGTAATGTGTGCATATTTTTACCTCATGTTAATTAAGCCAGGTAAATATCAATCAGAATTCTGCAAGGATTTTATTTCTGAACTTAGAAAATTAAAGAACACATGGACAAAATGATCAATAATATAAAAGAAAATTCTGAAGAAAAAAGAGGTTTCTAGAACTAATAATATGGCCCAAGACATTGCATTTTATACTTTCCTCCCATCATCTTGGTGAAAGGGTGAAACCAAGATGATTTGAAAAAGTCACTAACATTGTGGAAAATGTCAAGAGAAACTCACTTGAAGCATAAATACTCATGTGACACAGAGAATAGAGTAACACAGAGCCTGAACCTGCGAACGGCATTTGGTTGAAGGGAATCTCACAGGGAGAATGATACATGGAAGGATTTCCCTGTCATTCTGGATCTGTCTGGGCGCTGCAACTAAGAATCAGCATTAGAGCTGCTCCTTAATATTTTTCTTTTTAAACAAATAAAAATACTCACAAAATTTTAAAAATCTACAAAGAAGATTCTTTCAAAATATCCTCCAAAACCACGACCGTTGTTAGCTGATGTCAACATTTAATATCCTCCTAGAATTCTCTTTCCCTGTACAGACAAATATATACAATTTTTACATACATACTATTTACAACCTGCATTTTCCTCCAACAAAACACTATAGATATCTCTCAGAGTCAGCATCAATAAAAATATCTCATTCAAAGGCTGATTGAGCCATACTTCAGGTAATAAAACAATAATATATTGATTTTTGCACTTGTATCCCCCAAACTCAGTTACTTACAAGCCAAGAATCAGTTCTGCCCTCAATTTATTTAGTTCAGTTGTATTTAGTATTTATAATTATGTGCTTAAATATTTAATTAATTGGGTGCTAAAAGAAAATTGTTTTAATGAAAACCGTTAAAAGCTTTAGAAAAATAGAGCAGAAGCAAGTTGCTTAAAACTTGTTTTTGAATTAGGTAAAAAATCAAATTGTAAATGCCTGATAAAAACAAACTCTACAAAAATTCTGTACCCACATTGGTTTGTGTTTTGCAATGGAAATCATACATGATGAATGTAGTTTATATAAGAAAAATGAAAGCTGAATTCCAATCAACAGACCATATTCAAATAAAAAGCACTGGCACTATACCAAAAGGCTAATGAAGGAGCT